ACCCCGAACTGTCTCGCACTCGGGACGTGTGTTTGACGATTTTCGATCAGTTTTGACGGTTCCAGAGCCTCCCTAACTGCCTTGGGGTTATCTTTAAATGTGATAAAGTGGTTATAACTGAAGATAAGAGGGAATCAACCATTCCTATCCAAACACAGGGCTCCTGAAGCCTATAAATACAGCCCCAGGGCCTTCATTTTTGGAGATCGGGAATTCTGGAGCGTTGGCGAAGCCCTACCGGATTGAAGATCAAAAGCGCACGAATTTCAAAGAGGAGGAGGAGTAGAGATCTGATCGAGTTCGTCGGCATAAAGAAGAAGAGGTCGTCAGATCTGCAATTCTCGTGTTCGTCCCTTAAGATTACCCCGTTGTGGTGATCTTAAGAATAGCAATTATCTCGCTGTTGCCGAGATAAGCGCTACGGCTTTTTGATTCCTTCGCGAATCGACGAAGCTCTGCCCAATTCTTCAGCAATCAGATTTGATCGACGGTGGTCCACGGATATCAACGTCCCCGTCACAGGCCAAGATCCTACGCAAGCAGAAGACCGATAAACGATCTCTGCGCTGTTTGAAGAGAATTGTATTTTTTTTTGTTTTCATTGTGTAAAGGTCTTATAAAAAGACTAATTTTTGTTTTCGTTATAAACGTCTGAAGTTTGTAATGAACACCGTAATGAAACAATCAATTTTCTCCGCAAACAATGGGTGTTGGTTAAAATAAATTTCATCTATGGGCTTAACTTATATAATTCTACTTTAACCGGATTAGATAATTTAATTTTTTTTAACACCCAAACTCTTCCACAAAACCAAAAGAGAGTAGCAATCTATATATATAATGTTATAGCTATATATATCCACAGGACCACAGATATCTTGAAAATGAACGAAGAAAACCACACAAACAAAAACCATATTAATTACCCACACGCACCCACTATTTTCAAAACCACCATTCTCCATCTCCATTTATTATATATCTACATACCAAATTAAGTTGTTGGAGTTTCCCCTCACCAACTACACCATTGATCAACCCTCCTTTTCATTTGTACTTAAATTGTATAACATTCATTGCGATGAGGACTCACATGGGTCCTTTGCCTGCCTTGAACGTCCAACAAAAAATAATAATGTACAAGGCCTTGTAGTTAGTTAATAATGAGATCCTATCATTATAAACAAACTAAGATTAATAATTCTTAAGAATGTAATATGTTACCCTATCTTCCCTTGCAAACTTGTTAGTTGTTTATTCATGGCCCGAAGAGATTTTTAAAATTAATCATCTATTTCATAAAATATTTAAATAAAATTTATGGAAAATATAACAAACCATGTTTATAGATTTTTTTAACTCAAAATGAATCTGACTTATTTTATAGTAAGAAAATAAACAAAAAAATAATTTCGATATTTAACCACATGCATTGCACGTGCACAAGAACTAGTACTCTCTTTAAAAGTATGAGTTTGGGAAAAAAATTTCATGGTCAATATTACCCTTAACTCTTTTGAATATTACATTGTTATCCTAATCTATTCTAATATCCTATCTTCTATGACTTGGTAACTAAATGATTTATCCTATTCATAATGAGACTTAACATGCTATTGGGTAAAAGATATTTATTTTATATAATTCAAATCATTTACTTATTTCAGTTCGTAGAGAAATCTAAAAAACAAATACTATCTAGCGCTTAAAAGTTTTTGGATTTTGTAAAAAATATTCTCTAAGTTTTTTAAATTCCAAAAACACCTCTACAAATTCAAATTTTTATTAAAGCATCTTGAAAATTATAAATTTTATTTATTTCAATTCAATGAAAAATCTGAAAAACATGTGCTATCTAGAAACTAAAAGTTTTTTGAGTTTAGAGAAAATATTTTATAAGTTTTAAAAACTACAAAATACCCCTAAAAATTAAAAATTTATAAAAAACACATTGAAAATTTCAAACCAATAAACACACTAAAAACCTAAAAATAACACAAACAACCCCCAAAAATTTATGAAATTTTTAATAAACACTGAACTTTTTATAAATTACAAAATAAAATCCTTATTATTGTAAAATTTATAAAAATCCTAATAATTCTCATCGTAATAGTATATTAAAAATATCCCCTACATAATTTATAATTTATAGAAAAAACCCTTAAAGTTTCAAAAATTACAAACAAACCCTTAAAATTCAAAATTTATAAAAAAACACCATAAGCATTTCAAACTCATTAGTAAATTGAAAGCATAGTAATTATAAATAGTCTATAAACAATTTACAATCTGTAAAAAAGCCCATAAGTTTAAAAAAGTGCAAAAAAACCCCTAAAATTCATAACTTACAAAAAAACCATGAGAATTTCTAACCTATAGACACTAAAATAAATATGCAAAGTTACTAACAACCCCCAAAAAATTAAAATTTTACGAAAAATATCATACACCCTTTAAAAGAATAGGTTTTGTAAAAACATTTCATGGTTAATATTATCCTTAACTTTTTTAAAAAGAACATAACTAATTGAAAATATATTAAAATTTAAAATTTACAAAAAACACCCTTAAAGTTTAGTAAATTGCAAATTACTCCTCTAAAGTTTGAAATTTTTAATGATTCTTTGTAATTTCTTGATTTCAATGTAATGTTTAATAGTTCTGTGTATTTATAAATTACAAAATTTTAGGATGTTTTTTATAATTTTTAAAACTTTTGAATGTGTTTATTTTATAGTTTTCTAAATTTTCATTGCGTTTTTAGTGTAATGCATAGATACGTCAATTAATGATGATATTGAAGAGTAAGTCGTTATTAAGATTAGGTCATAGTTAAGTTGCACATCACTAGTCCTAGGCAGTATAGTTTATATATGCAAAAAATTTTAGATAATCTATATAGTGGTTAAAAAGATTTTGACTTTAATGTACTATTTTTTATACATTATATTTAATGTGAACCCATCATATAATTTTGACTGTGGTCATCATAATTTTAATACGTTTGATTGATTGACTATATATGTATATAAATAATAGATTATTTTACTTTCTCACATTAGCTAATATTTGGCGCTTAATTTTTTAAATTATTACTTTTAAATTTAATATAAAGAGGAGCTCTAATAATATTTATTAATTTATCTACAGAATAATACAATCTCAATTCATATTTTTTGCTTAAGATTTATTCCATAGTTACGCGTATCAAATTAGTAACTAAAATAATAATTATTTATGCTTAAATTAGGATGATTGTAGTCGGTCACTCACTATGGAATTTTTATGAAGATATATACATTACTTTCTATAGCTATTTGTACTGCTCATGTATATTTTATAAATTAGTTGTTAATTTGACATATGAAATTACTTTTCCTTTGTAGAATTTCTTCTTTGACTTTTAGATTGTGTAATCACTATATCACCGTTCTAGCGTAGAAAGGACCTCACTCTAAATAGCTTTAAGCTAATATGTGAGTTGAACTGAAGTATATACTATTCCTACTATGTGTCTATATTTTTTAAGAAAATCATATCAACACTTTTTAAATAGAAGAAATATTCTAACATCTGATGTTATAAAAACTAAAGATAGCCAGTTGAGTGATTAGTAAAAGAGAACTGACATGAGAAAAGCGTGAATAATAAGATAAAGAGGAAAGATAATGACATTGTCAATAATACTACAACTAACAAACTACAATGTAAAGTTAACTAATTTTGTGAAGCACAACTACTGGCTATAATCATCGAGGTTTCCATATATACATACTTTATAATTTTTTTTAAAAGGGTCATATAATCTTATATAATAAATTGATTTAATACTGAATAGTAATATCGTTGTAGTAATATCGTTATTAGGAAAAAATTTTCATGAACCAATATAATATTTATAATATATAAGCTATGCACTCTAAATTCTTGTGTCTTTTATAGAGCCAAAATGTTTGAATATGAGCCTCTAACATTTTGCTCTCACAATAGCAAAATTCACTTAGCAGATGTGGATATTCTAGATGAGTTATATGTCCTATATATAATACAATTGTCCTAGGCAAGTAAGTTATAATAACATTTTTTATTCACATCGATTGTGATAAGATTTGATAGGGACCTTGCATAAAAAAATTATATTTAGAACACATGGCGAAATATATCATAATCTTCCTGCTCTAATTTCACAAGAAAATAATTCTTCATACTTTCAATTCTACTTCTGTGATATAGAGAATGAACTGATTAAGAATATTAGATAATATAAATATGAGTAAACCATAACTAAAAGTTAAAGTGAATATGAGTCCAATCACAACTAAAAGTTTAATGGACATATTGCAAGTAAATTCATATGTAAAATTCCTTTGCGCATTGAATGATCACACATCTAAAACTTCATGATACTAATAAATAGAGATGTTGTACTAGATTAATGTGTTTATAACTCACAAATAGTAGATCACGTGGCCACAACCTGGGTTGAAGAAAATAATGATAATATTTCATTTAAGAGAGAGATTATTGAGTTGATGATCAATTCCACAAAAAACTTTATTTTTTTATTTTTAATCTATTTTTATCAATTTAAATAATCATGATATTCAACTAAGTGCATTTCAATTAAAAGTGTTATTCGTTCGGGGGCTAGAATTTAAATTTAAATTTAAGATATTATTGGTTTAAGACTTAGGATATTGATTTGAATTGTATTTCGTATGACTTTAGTTAGTTCACCCCCATACACGTTGGAAAATATAAATTAATCTTTTCAATATTTTTTAAAAAATATTGTTAGCATGATTCTTTATCAGCCGCTATTGCCATAATATCAAAATAAAAATAAAATAATTCACACTGGTTTCCTAAACACTTTTAACACTTCATGAAAAATATTTTCGAATGTGAAGTCATTTTCTAGTGCCACGCTACTGCTGCAACTTTAACAGTAAAGATGCAAAAGAATAATAAAAGTCACAACTGATTCAATACAAATAAAAGACAAATGAAACCCATATCAGCACCCAAGTTTCTAAACCAACCATTAATCATGGCCATTGATCAGCCAATGAGTCATACAATAACAACATAGTCAACAAAAAGAAAGCAAAGATTATAATCAAGTGTTATACATGATATATGAGCTCCACATCAATTAAAGTCACGCGAAAAAGAAATTTAGTATCTATTTTCACTATTATTCAAAAACTCTCGACGACTTCCCAATTATGAACTCGAACCATCAAGCCCCAAGCTAGTCGTAAGCCACTTGCAAACATCATCTATTTCTTCAGGGACTGTATAATGACCCAGTCTGCAGAACCCAGTTTCTTCAGCAAGTTAAAATTTTAATAATTCAAAAATAAAAGGTTTTGGGTGAAGAACTGAGTACATACCCACTGTAACTTTTGAAGGTTGTGTTCTGGAATCCAGTTGATTTTAGAACCTCAGCAGATTTCTCCCCATGCTTGTGGGGCAAAACGTCATCCCCTGCAAGAATGTCGTCATACTTGCCTCAACAGAACACTTTAAAAAAATTATTATTGTCTATGAAAAGAATTGAGCAAGCTAATTGAATATAGACATCGAAACAGATCGGTTAATAGCTTTTTTTTGCCTTTTGGTCAAAAGTAAAGTTGGAGCATTCACTGCCGCCCTGGTTCACTAGAGAGAATATTGAAAACTCAAAACAGAAAAATAGAGAACCAACTACCTACTGAAAAACAATAATAAAAAAACAATTGACAGGAGAAGAGAAACTCGATATTTGAGGGTCAATGCAACTCAATTCTAGTTCCTCATCTCCAGTTAAGCCTCAAATATCAGATCCTAAACTCTTCAATTATCAAATAGATTCAAGCTCGAATTTCATGATTGTCGTCTGAGCGGAGGGTCGGAGACAGCGTTTTCTTGAAAATTAACAAGAAAGAAGGTTGGCTAGGCTTGACTTATTCACATTGGGGTCACAGCAACAGAAAGTAAGTCAATGGCTCCACCTTGAGAACAAAGCATACGACTCTCGTTCTAAGAGAAGAAACATTTCTTTCTTAGATCAATTACATCATTTAATATTTACAAAGGAAGGCTTATAGGTAAAACTCAACTTAAGATTTGAGAAATCTAATTTGGAATTTTAGAAAATAATTTGACTTTATCTCGTTTTAAGAAAGTGAAAAATAAAACTAAAAGATACACTAACTTATCAAAAGATTTTCAAAATAAAACCAAAAGATATTTTGTTTGTCTAAAAAGTTTGAAAAATAGAACTAAAATATAACAAATTCTACCAAAACTAACAAAAATAGTTGACAGAATGAGGAAGACACTTTCAACTTGCCTTTGACTCCCTTTCCTACAAACTCCTCTCAAGGATCAACCCAAACTGTCTCGGTTTCAAATTTAGGCTAGAATCTGACCGAGGTCAGGGCACGAATTTTGTCTCAAGCTCTGGTTTGGGCTCTAGCTCTGCGCATTGCTCAAGCTTGAGCTCCGCTGTTTGGTTTGGTGCCAGTGCTTGTTAGAGCTTGTGTTGAGACAACAATGACCAGTGCTTGTTAGAGCTTGTGTTGAGACAACAATGAATTTAACTGACATCCTCTAATAGCACAATAGACATATAGAGGTTGGGAGTCACATATTTTCAATGAACAGTAAAATGTATGGTTAAAATAGTACGATCTTTAAGAAAGAACGTTATATGTTTCCATGAACGAGTGCAAAATCAATATTCAGCTTCCCTTTTCAACCTGCATTTTATATATAAATATTTATGCATATCCGTCATTTCTAATAAGAAAGTAAGTGTTGCAAAAGTTTAGTCCCATTTTCACATTCGTATGGAGTCCCAAAAACAAGGCATGTCACCCAATTTTCATGAATAGAAGAAATATTTTTTTTATGAAAGGAGTATCAAGACCTTCCTATGCAAGCAATTATAATGATAATATGCCTTAACAGTATGAAGATGATGAGTATGACATGAGAACCAAGAGAAGTCAGAAATTATTGTAGCAATTTTGAGTAATGTAACGGCTACATCTAGTTAAACAGTCAGAAGTAATATACCTTATTGTAGCGATTGTAAAGACTACAGAGATAATACAAGATAATACGCTCAACTGTATGAAGGTGATGAATATGAAATGAACCAAGAGCAAGAAATGAAAAAAAAACAGAAATTATTGTAGTAACCATCAGTACTGTAACAGCCAATGCATTTAACAGCTGTAGCGGACGCGTATCTGAAATCTAACATCTGATCTCTTTGCTCTGACCCAAATGATGGTTAGTACTCGGTGGGAATTAGTATTTGAGTGCAATGAGTGAATATTGTTTTATTCTTTTTGAAAGTTAGCAAGAAAAGAAGGATTAGAGAAGCATCACGCATCTACATTGGCTTCATGTGACAAAAGAGGTTAAAGTTTCCAAGAAGGTTCCCAGCATGTTTAGAGCATATTTCTTCCTGTCAGCAGAAAGACTAGAGCAATCAAATTTACTATTTGGAAGATAAAGAAGAAATTTAAACCATCTCTCCAGGTGACCTATTTTCAGTGCCAACAGTTCGCTTAGCTTTCATGTTTTTATAGTTGACCACAGTTGCATAAGTTACTCTCATTCTTCAACCACAGTTGCATAAGTTACTCTCATTGTTGTGTCCCTCTTAAGCACAAACTTTAAGATTTCATGACAGTGGACCTTCTGCTACGCCGAGTCGCTCCCTCCAGACTGCAATCCTTTCCAGGGGTAGAGTATTTATCATCCTTTCCTTTCTTTAATTCTTTCTACCTATCAAAATTCCTATCAAAATTCTTTTCCTCGGTATGTCTTTAGCCTAGGTTCTTCGGGTGAAGTATTGTCTCATTCTATCCATTGTAGTTCATGCATTCTCCCAGTTTGTTTATTCTTTATAAAGAAGATGCCTCATATGTTCATATCACTCTCAGGTTAGCATCATATACTAAATTGATTATGTTAAAGCACAATCTGCTATGCTTGTGGAATCCAAAAACACTCGCTAATGCAATGATTTATTTCAACTTTTATCACAGATTACGGCGTTCTCCACACTGCTTCAACTTCATTTCCTCCTGTGTGTAAAGAGAAAGAAAGACATGTAGATCGACTTTTCTAGAGATACTCTAACTGAACCATTAAACTATACCAAACATAAATGAAAAAAAAAAATTAAACCCCATACAAAACTATGTCCAGTAAACTATAAGCATCTTTACTTTGTAACAGAGGTCATAGTAACGTATTGACTACCCTTAAAGGTTCCTGACTTCCTTCACACATATTCCAACAGGTTTGACATAAATAATAATTGTGCATCAAATTGCATTAGATGCTTGGTCTAAAATCAATATCTCTTTTATCTTACGATCATGTTCCTGAATTTAATACTAATATGTCTAGATATTTCAATAATGTGGAGTTCTATGCAAATATCAATACAAAAGTCCAACTTAAGATTATCTATAAAATAGCTAACTGGTACAGTTACTATTCCACGAAAATGGAAGTATCAAGGAAGTTCAACTGTTAAGTATCCAGGAGAGAAATTTTTAATAAAGGCAAGGAGAAATAGAAATTGAAACTATAGTTTATTTGTATGTCTTCATAAATAAAATTAACAAGATACCTTTTCCATGACATAGCAAAAGTGGCAAGGTGGAAGCTTTCCTCGCTGCTTCTTCTGACCCTTCAATCTTGTTCTTCAAACTCCTAAATAAAGGTATAAAATAGAACAACAGTTAAGCTTGGCTAAAGTAAAAAAAAGGAGTAGAGATTAAAATAGTATTTGGTAAAGATAAGTTAGCAGACTTAGAACATGGTAGCCAACCACTTAGACCAACAGCTGCACTTAAGTTGAGAGGGTATGCATCGCCGTTTCCATATTTTCCATGAGCAAAACAAGTGGCAGAGTACAAAGCTGTTGCTGCACCCATACTAAAGCCACCAACACCAAGTTTAACTGCAATAACAAATTAAATGAATTTTAAAGTTGATCAACACAAAATATACAAATATTCTATTGACAACTGCCTTTCTAGCATAGCATACACCCGGTTGATTTCTTCAATCATGTTCAATTATAGATAGGTAATAGGCAGCTACAAGCTTTCGTTTATAGTGTAACACTTGATTGTATTGCAGGATTTAAGTGGAGGCTTCTAAGTAAGATGATCAATTTTTTTTTCTCATGCTACATCTACAAAAGAAAATATAAAGGGTTATACATATAATACGATGCTACATATTACTGTTTCCATTTTTTGTTTTTAATTTATTTTTAGTTTCATATTTATATTTTTGATGCAGGAAACATACTGTCAGCAGGTTCAGTGGAACAAAATGTTTGCCACATGCGTTGCAGAAACAACTGTCAGCAGGTTCAGTGGTTAATGCTACATAATACTATTTACTATTTTTATTTTTAGTTTTTGATATTGATGCAGGAAACATACTGTCAGCAGGTTCAGTTGACAAAAGATTTGCCACATGAGTTGCTGAAGCATCCAAACCCTCAATATCTTCAGGGCCCTCCTGTTGCAGGTCATGAACATCAAACCCTGGGAAGAAAGCAAAAGTGTGAACATGTTGATATTCTTGAAGTAAAGGACCTCTATGAAACATAATATCCATAACAATATATTAATAAAAACATCACAATTCCTCAATTGACTTTCTAATGAAATGTTTTAACTCAAGAACTTACATGCAGTGCAAGGGAATCCACCAAACACTGATACAGGTCGTGTTGGTGCAGTTGGGCATATCCATTTTATCTGTATTAATGAAATATGCCTAATTAGCTACAAACTACAAAGCTTGTTTAAGTATGATGCTTGTCAAACAAAGAAGTAAACTTTCATCGCACATCAGAAGAAAGGTCCAACTGCCCCTGGCAAAAATTTAAGAGAAAGAAAACAAATAAGTCGTTTAAAATAAAGAAATTCTGCACTCACATTCGGAAGGGGAAGGGTTTCCAAAAGCTGGGACCAACTGCAGGAGGGGAAAAAAAGAAAAAAAAAAGAATCAGCTCACAGCAGTAGTTCAAATGACATTTTTCCAAATGAAAACCAAGTTTTATTCAAAAAATAAAACTGAAGCTACACAAACTGATGACACCTTACCAAACTGCATGAAACACAATTCACACTTAAAATTTGAGAGAAGAACTAACACAATGAGAATAAAAAGGAGAAGAACAAAGATAGTCCTTCATGCTTCCTCATTTGAGTTTTGAGTATCAATAACATATTTGATATGCGCAAGAGCAGATTGATAATGAAATATATAGTGCACAAGGATCATTTAATTAATCATCTAGAGCTGGGTAACACCTGGGTGATTGCAGTTATAGTCATCTAACCAACCAGAACAACTGGATTCGAAAGGGAAAACAGTAGGTTTTACTGAATTTATATCCTCATCACTTACACTAGATCTTCCTTTTGTCATGGAAAGCTTATTCAGTTCCCTTCTCTTATATTCTGTTACTTGATTCTTCTGCTCTTCTTTGTTCTTCGAACGTAGATCTGAGCATTGTCCTTAATCCGTATATCAGCCTCTTTTATTGGAAAATATAACATTCACCTCACCCATATGGGAGAAACTTCTGTTAATGTGTGGTTACAATTCCTTGGACAACTGACCAGATGTAACAAGCCGGCATTCAACCAACTACCAAATTCATCTTTTCTGGTTCAAATCCCTTTAAATGTTTTCTTTAAAGCTAAATTTTGGAACAAAGTTGTTTATGCATTCAGTGTACCATCATTCATAGCCAGAATAGCTCGCCCTCTTCTTCCTGCAATCCAAATATTAACTTTTCTGATCTTCCATTTATGTGTAGTTACTGCGGTCCATTTAGGACTAGCTGGAAATCTAACTGAAGATCCTTTAGTGGAGATGTCAGTGAATACCAAGAACATCATTCAAAGCTCAAACTGTAACAACTACATAGGGTAATCACCAAGAATTTGGTGTACGAGCCATACGAAATATAAATTAAGCATTGCATTCTAGAACACCTTAGTCGTGATATAGAAGTATTGACGATAGTTATTGGCTAAACACTATTATTAGTGTGATATTAGTGTGATATTCATAGATCTTCATTCACCACGGTTATTGTTTTTCCTGTTGCATATGGGTCCATTATGAAGAAATGATATGTACTACAACGTAACAAGAAAATTTTCTATTAAAAAACTTACACAACCTGTCATCTGTCGTTCATCCTGAGTTTATTTCTTTCTCAACCAAGAAAAATATAGAGAAGAAATGGACTTGGGCCAAAAACAACATAATCTCTGATTTTACGGCCATATTTTGTTTTCAACACAAAATGTCTCTTTGCTAAATTACCTATCTACCTATGTTGTATGGGTACTTTTATCATGTAGTCGTAGCTGTACACGATATATACCGGAAACCGACAATCCCTAGACATTCCTTGTTACCTCTATCATGTCGTAACCATACCGGACACTAACACTCCCTGAACACTCCTTGAATGCATGTACACATTTACTAAAGCATGAAATCAATAATATAATATAATAATATATGTTTTAATATAAAACACTTGACATACACTTCGTGGACATATATCCTACACTTCACACCCGCTTCCTGAAACTCATTAAACATGGATCAATTTCAATTCATACTTGGTTTAGAACTATGATTTTAAATAATTGTTTGATAATCTAGTTCAAAACCGAGTGGTTTTCCAATTTATAATCAATACAATAAAAGAAACATAAAAATGCTATAGAAATTTTAAATCTTATAACATAATTTTGATCTTATGTAAGCTATCAATTTCAATATATGTATATAGTGTTACCCCCATACCCAACCTTTAAGGGTTTACAAATTGTCATGTCCCGTACTCATAGTCGCACATGTATCAATACACATGCAACATAGATGTCTACCACTGTAACAAACTTTTGGTGATTGCCAGGATAATCAGATAAAACATTAATTATGATGATGTCCAAAAGCTTTGGTTTCTAACTGAACATGTAATGCTTTCTAATTTCATGTATTCTTATCAATAAATATTCGGCATGCTTGATTACTAAGCAACGGTATCAACCAAACAAAGCAGAATGTAAGGGACTTGTCAATTTGAGCTTCTGCAGATTAAATATTAGTCATATAGAAAATCTGTTGCGTGAAATGTTTTTCAACATCAGAAAAGTCTCATCAAGTTGATTTTCCACAGATTAGCTCCATATCAACTAATGGGGCTAATTTTCTCAAGGATCAATTCGAAAGAGTTAATCGTCAATTACATCGACCAAGAAAATATTTGTCCCTGAATGGTCCATTGGTTTGCCATTATTTGCTCATAATGTCCCATCTAAATCATCCTTTCTTCCAAGAGCAAATGCTTCAGTCCATACTTGAAACTAAAACTCCCATGATACGCTCCCAATCCTCTGTCATGACACGCCACAGCATACAATTTGTCGTGCACTGCACTGCACATAGTCACCAATCAGTTGATCCACACGCCTTGGATTTGTCATTCAATGTTTGCCGCCTACATTGGAGCTACCAAATGCACGTCACATGGGTTGTCACCTCAGCCAGCTCATGTGCAATTCCTCCACCGCTCCTCAAAACCGCAGCCTTCGGCACGTGGATCTCTCTCGTGTTAACTCAATGCATTGCCAAAACCTCATGAACCTCACGAACTGCACAAATGGCAGCACAAACCTCGCCCTGATACCACTTTTTCTCTCAAACTAAAGAAGAGAGAAAAGAACAATGCACAGATTACGTGGAAAGAATCTGATTTCTTTATTAACCAAGAAAACCTACACATTCAACTCTAGGTTCCTCTATCGAGGCTTGCTCCTAGATGGAACTTGGTGCGCAGAGGCTCGGGGTTGCCTAAAATACAAAATGGGTCCGGGACCATGATCATTTTTTATTTTTTAACAATATTTTCAATTGAATAATCATTTGTTGATTACTTAGAATTTAGTATCTTAATGCTTAAGAGACTATGGACAAAGGACCTTGGAGTTTGGTTAATTTCAGAAGCAATAACGTGATTCACATAACACCTCGGAAGAGAAATAAGACGTTATAGCAACTCATTTGTGTTGCATCTCTTAACATGCTAAAAAATAAGCTCAGTGAAGGTATCTTGAGATTATACATCTGAAGTCCCTCTCATAATTAGACAGGTATCAACAAATGGAGTGAGTCCGGTTAACTATGATTAGATGACAAGAGCGTAATTTATGTTATAACTATTAATCCATGCTGATACCATTTAGCAGATAGAAGTTTGCAAACTAGATGAAACTAATCAAGAAAACAACATAATATTCTGCGTAGAATCTGTCCATGTCCATGTCAAAGTGCATAAACAGTTAGTGATTCATTGCTCTGAAAAACAGCATGTGTTTGAGCTTAATCCCTTTACAAAACAAGCTAATATTCTGATTGAGAATAGAGTTAAATTATATTCTACATAATAGTAAAGGAGCATTATTGCTGATCATGCTCTAAGCAATTCAACAGAATGTTGAATAAATAAAGATAAGTATCAACATTTGTCACAAATTAAGATTAAAAAAAAGGCTGAGAGTGAACCCACCTCGACCCAGTATCGCCTAGGCCATGAAGCCACACAACAGTTGCTAAATGCCTACCCTTGGGCCTGATCACATGGGTTCTCCCGTACTCGAAAGGCCTCGCAGTCCTCGTACCTGCATCTAAATTACGTTAAATTCAAACTGGCAACACTGATTTCACATTACAACAAAGCAACTACAATAGGAACAAAATGGAAGGAAAAAGGATCAAACCAGCAGCAGCGGAGCTACTCCCTATGCTCATATTGGTTGCACTAAGAGCAGACCTCGGGAACCCACCAACCCTTGCAGTAACTGCTGTGGCCGCCGTCGAAACAAACTACACTGCAATTATCAAAAGTATTGGAAGGGTCGATCTTGGCCCATAGTAAAAAAAATACCCATGAATCTGGAATCCTTAAAAATTAATATTACAACAAAAGGAAAATATCCACTGAGAAATATAGCTTGATTAATTCCTTTTGAAATTGGAGAAATGGGTAATGCTTAGATTTAGCTACACGAATCAATGCAAAAAAACCTAAAAACATATTGCGTCAGGATTTTTCTTTTCTTGGTACGAACCTGAAATTGAGGAGCGCTTTTTTCTTCTATCCACACAAGCGCAATCTTTGATGGGCTGTTAAGATTTTTGCCCTTTTGAAGAGTATCGGAAGGGGAATCTCGAACTACTACCCTGGAGGCTGGAGATCTCTTTGGAATTCATCGACCGGGATTGGATTTGGGTCCCGGGTGACGCTGAAATTTCCAAAATGCCCTCGGCCCTACTATATCTCTTGGCAGTGGGTTGGTCAATGGTCGTTGGCTCAAAAGATGCACCTCTTTTTCTAGAAAGAACAAGGGGCTTCTCGACGTTTTATCCGAAGACGAAACTTTCCATTTAAACCCCTTCCACTTTTTATTTTTAAAAACCGACCCATTCCTATTTTATTTCAAAAAACCGACACATTTCGTGGCCATATCAACACCGTGGCCACGAAATGGGTCGGTTTTTTTAATCTCGTCACTAAATAGTCGGGGTTGTCAACCCCAATTATTTTGCACGCCCTTGGTAATATACAGGCTAAATTAATCGGGGTTGGAAACCCCGACTAATTTAGCACACCATCTAATTGGTCGGGGTTGGGAACCCCGACCAATTCGAAAGCCCTTTCGAAATGGTCAGGGTTCCCAACTCCGACCATTTACCAGAGACTTTTAAGCAAAAACTGGCTAAGGCAAAATGTCGGGGTTGAGAACCCTAACCATTTCGTGTAGGTGCACAAAATGGTCGGGGTTCCCAACCCCGACTATTTTGCAGAGCTCTTCCTCCCTACTTCCAGCTGGAAAATTAAATTCCTGTTACTACATATCAATCCACCAACTAATGGTACACATTTATCAATCTACAATGCAATCACAATCACAAACAACACACATTTGATCAATCAATAATCGCAAGCATTCATTTCATACTAAAAATCCATATTCAATCGGATACATACCATGCAATTCACATACTAATAATTAATACTCAATCGGATACATAATATTTAGTTTCAAACGCAAAAAATCTTATCAAATATATCGAAACTTAACAAATATTTACGACTCCCTTTCCCCTCTCTCTCTCCCTCTCCCTCTCCCTCTTCTTCCTCTCCCCCTTTCCCGTTCACCTTCGATGTAAGCTCGGATGAGATCCTCGTCTGATTATGTGTGAAGTTGGGAGTGCATGACATCCTCGTCGACTAGAACCGTCTGTGAACATTCGGCTTGAGTCTGGTGTGAGTCGCCAGCTTCATCATGTACACGGCTTGAACCTGCCTCGTGTGTCCTCGGAACCGTCGACGACCATACTCAATTGGTCGCTCCCCACGTCCATCACGTCTTGCATTACGCGTCCTCTGAAGAGCGGACCGAATTTTTTTATCATGCGAAGGAACGTGTTCCTCAGCTCTGGCTCGATAGTCGTTCGCAATGCATCATGTGCCATAGTAGAAAGCTCTTCGAGCTCTTATACCTATAAGATAAAAACCGAAAGAAAATTATTATCAAGTGGATGATAATAAAATAAAAATCACAAAATAACTGTATATTTTTCTTATACACATACCAACTCTCTCTCAACCGGGCCTTTTGGTATGTACTCCTTAGGGGCTTTGTTCTCCTGAAATATCCACCTACGAGTAATCCCCCAATACCACCGCAAATACACACCTAGGTCAGGTGCGTCCGCCCTCTCCATCACTACTTGTTCCTCCCCAATGAAAGCATGTCGAATATATTCCCAATTTACATGATGTGCACCTTTTCTGGGATTTCGCTCTATTCTCTCCACAAGGACTGGAATATTGTTGTGCGCAGCGGAAATTTCGGCAGAGTTTCTGGTGCACAATAATAGAGAAAGATCCCAATAAGAATTCCCGTCTCACCAAGGAGACAAGAATCTGAAGCGAATATCTCAACAAAGTGAGATATCGGCTCTTTCTCTCATCAGTTCTAGGACTGACTTGTCGAGGGATCCTAAAAACTATTACAATGGCCACAAACACAAACAAACCAATTTTTATGTGGTTCGGCAAACTGTCTACGTCCACGGGGCAAGGAGGGGGGAGATCTACTATTAGAGAGGAGAATACAAATAGGGTTTACAATCACACAATTAAACCCTCAAACAATCTCTCAAAACTCTCACAAAACAGCCACCCCAAATCTGCGTTCTCTACTTCTGCACGCACGAAATCTGTCGCTGCTTTTCCCTCTGCTTCCTCGTACTTGCAACCTGCCTTCCCTGTAGAAAACAATCACAGCTAAAAAAGCCTTCTCCTTTTTTTTCTTTTCCCAGCCGCACAAAAAAAAAATCTAGGCGCTATTTATAGCTTTAGAACTGTTCATGGGTATTCGGGTGAGCCTTCACAAAAAAAAACCGAAACTAAACACAAGGGCCCCTCAAAGATCCGCTGGATCTTATGGCCTCTTAGCCATTCACGTGTTTCGTGCCGTGAGAACGTGGGTGGCCCTTTCACTTCACTTGGGTTGTGGCCCCACTAGTCACACGTTCACAATTCTCCACCTCGATGAAGTTTTCCCAAAACTGAGCCGACACCAACCAAACCAAATGTCTCACTTGCTGCGTCTAGTACGAAGTGAAACAATTCACGATACTGGACTCAATCCACAACAAGTCGAGAACCCAAATGAGAATGCGAACACTCTCCAAATGTCGGTATCAACTCACCTAATCGATCTCACCTCCATCAAAATCCAACCCGGCTGCATCATAAAGACTGCCTATGTATCCTCTTGCCTAAGGAATAAAGCCTCACATAGTTTACCCAAATGGCCGCGAACGACCTCAATCCAATAGAAGAGTTCGCAACCCTTCTCCAATATCATCAACTCTGCGGCTGATAGCACCTCCAATGGCCTCAAACACCTCCACCTGAGGTGAACCAATGACCATATCCAAACTATGTCTGCCAGTTGCACTCGAATCAAAACCCAACCCATCATCTGCACCTAAATCCAAATGATCCCTAAGTTGTGTCACCTCAGCCAGAATCCCAAACAATACAGTATGATCTGGAGTAATTTTCACCCAATGTGGAGTAGCATCCATCTCCACCCACTGCGATACATCTAAGGTCTGTCCAAAACTCTTTATCTGCTGAGAGTCAAATAGCTCCCTTATCGAAGCCTTAACCAAAGTGACACTATCAGACCTATCTTCCAATGGAGTTTTACCTCCAATCATAGCAGTTGACAACTCTTTAATAGGATAACCCAAATATGTCGAAGCCTCAGTCCAGAACCTCTTCTGCAAACCATTGCTTGATAACAAACACCGATCCTCCTCCAGCAAGGCATGATTCTCCAAATTTGTCACCCTATTTAGTTGCCCCAAGATTTCCTTTCCAACGAAGTGTCTCGAAATGCCGTGAGCTCGGCTCCAATACAGAAATAGGTCCATCTTGTATCTCCCACCCAAACTAGAGTGAAGTACCTTAACCTTTCTGCCAATATCACACTTCTTCAATCTGTTGGAGACTACTAGGACTTTATCCAAATGGGATTTGGTTGCAACCCAAACACGTCTAGAACAGCCACCAACGAAGGAAACTAAACTTCGATTACCTCTCAATGATGCCCCCTTGGAAGGCCCCCAAACATCCATGTGAACTCCTCCAGAACGACCCTTAACTCGGTGAATAGAGGTGTCAAACTTCACCTCGGTCTTCTTGCTCACATCAACATGTTCACTGGACTTTAAATTGCCGGTCTTTACACCCTCTTTCAATCTATGTGAGCAATCAATACTGGAATGGTTAAGCCCCAAATGCCACAGTCTAGTCGAATCAACAGAAGTCGTCAGCTCTTCACCTGCCACTATACCTCCAGTCAAGTAATACAGGTTATTCCTCCTAACACCCTTCATCAAAATACGAGAGTCTCTCACAATCTCGAGAACCATGTCCATAACACGAACCTTCAGACCCTCTCCAACTAAAGCTCCAATTGAGATCAAGTTCTTCCTCAAAGAAGGAACATATCTCACATCATTTAACTCTCTAATAGTCCCGTCAAACATTTTGATGCGAATTCTTTCTATCCCAAAGATCTAGCATGCACGGTTATCAGCCATGTACACCACACCACTATCCATCTTCTCAAAACTGGAGAACCATTCCCTTCTAGGACACACATGATAGGTCGCACCACTATCCAACATCCATTCAGATTCCTCCGAATAGCTATCTGTAGGACTGATAGAAAGCGAATAAATAGAAGAGTCAGAATTATTACCATCCGATACGATGTTTGCTTCTGATGATGGTTGCTTCCCTTTTCCCTTCTACTTATTATTCATCTATTTGTCGAGCTTTGGGCAGTCTTTCTTCCAATGACCAGTCTCCTTGCACCAAGCACACTGTTCTTTTCCAATTATAGGATGTCCTACTCTAGACTGTGACTTCTAATTCTTTTGGTTTGGACCCTTCCCTCTTGCGGCCAATGCCTCTGCTACCTGCTCAACTGAAGCCTCCTTATCCTTTTTTCGAACCTGATAATTCACTAGTGTAGCAGTGACCTCACTATACGAAAGGAATGTCTTCCCATTAATCAGAGTAAGAACAGAGGTCTCATATTCCTCGTCGGGCAAGGAACTCAACAACAGCAACACCTTGTCCTCATCTTCAATCACGACATCCACATTCGCCAAATCCGCAAGAAGCTTAGTGTAGTGGTTCATGTGATCTCTAATGGAGGTTCCCTTCTTCAATTAGAAACGATAAAGCCTCCTCTTCAAATGCAAGCGATTTTCCACACTCTTGGTCAAATACTTGCTTTCGAGAATCTCCCAAATCTTCTTCGTAGAAGTCTCATTCATCACATCATATTTTAGATCTTGAGTCAAACAAGACCTAATCACACCACACGCTGTTCTATTCATCTTTTTCCAAACCTTTTCTTCAATCTCATCTGGCTTTCCATCTAACTCTAAGGTATCCTCTAAATTCTACGCGTTCAGCGCATCCAAAACCTCGCATCTCCATAATCCAAAGTTGTTTGTGCCATTAAACTTCTCCACATCTATCTTCATAGAGTGGATATTCAAACTCTGAATGGTCTTCGCGCCAGAAGCACCACCCTCGACACCCGAAGTACCTTCTTTCCCCGACATCTTTCTCAACACACCAACAAACGAAGAATAGATCCAAAACTAAAAAGATAGAGTCTTTTACCAAAAGAGCCCACC